AGAAATTAAAACAGGAGGCCAGATTTGGGGTGCCCAGGTTTTTGGACCAGATCCCAGGAGGTGTTGGGTCATTTCTCGTTCAGATTGTTCCATGATCTCGACTCTGACTGCGCTGTCACATCAGAACCTCCACTGAGGGTACGTCTACACAGCAGGACTTAAGTGCTATGTAGATGCTCCCTATTTTGAAATAAGCTATGCAATTTTAAAACAGGAGGCCAGATTTGGGGTGCCCAGGTTTTTGGACCAGATCCCAGGAGGTGTTGGGTCATTTCTCGTTCAGATTGTTCCATGATCTCGACTCTGACTGCGCTGTCACATCAGAACCTCCACTGAGGGTACGTCTACACAGCAGGACTTAAGTGCTATGTAGATGCTCCCTATTTTGAAATAAGCTATGCAATTGCTGTAGCTTCTTTCGAGTTATTTTGAAACAGAGCGCTCTTCCTCTGACTTCCCTTACTCCTCGTACAACGAGGGTTACAGGAGTCGGAGTGAGAAGTCCTCCAACTGGACGGTATTTCGATACTATTTCAAAATAACTGCCTGCTGTGTAGATGCGGACTAAGTTATTTCAGAATAGCGCTAGTGATTTCGAAATAGTGTTGCAGTGTAAACGCACCCTGATGCAAGGAGATCGGGCTGGTAAAATGTAGCCTGAGTGGACAAAGCTGAGCTATTGAGCAAGCAAAAATCTGAACATGAAAAATACGTGCATGAAAACATGGGCCTTGCAGCTATAGAGGTAGAAAGATATCTCCCTTTTAAGTCCTACTCCACAGTATGAGTCTCTAAGCCCCAAGCAATGACAGACCAGTTGTTTCCCAGAATGAGGGTTGGCACAGTGGTCGAGTAGCACTTACAGTGTGCTCCAGAGATGTTCAAACGTCGTCCCTTCATCCACTGGAGAAGACTGGGACATCTTCACAGAGGGGGAGTCGGACAGGGGATAAATCGCTCTGAGCCCAAAGGAAAACAGCATCGTTAGTGTGGCCACAACACATAGAAATGGCACAGCCTGTACTTATCCAGCACCTTTCAGCTTTGTGCCTGACCAAGTGTACGCACGGGGATGTGTCCTGTGCATGCAGGGGGAGGGACTAGATCATCCAATGGTTCTTTTCCATTTCTTTATTTCCAGGGCCTGCCCAGGGAATCTCATGGATAATTAAAGCAAGATTCAGTGAACTCTGTTTAAAATAAGATGGATTAAAAATCTCCTACTGAGCCAGTGCAGCACAATATGTGGGTAACAATGGACTCTAATTTTAGGTGGGGAAATGGAAGATCTTTCTGTCTATAACCCATGACAGGTTGGACCTCCCTGGTCCGGCAACCTCAGCATTGGATTGATGCCGGAAGAGGAATTTTGCTGGACCAGGGGAGGTCACTTCTGGCCCCGCCCTGCTACCGGCTACCCCAGCTGTGGACTGGCTGCCAGCCTCCTGACCAGTTCCCCCCATGCCACTGGCCTTGCTGCCCTGCCAGTCCCCCACCCCCCACTTTTCCTGCTCCCTGCTTGCAGGGCTCCTGGCCACGCTGGGCAGCCCAGCTGTGAGGAGCCCAGCCACCAGCTCTCCGCCAGGACTCTATGGTCCTAGAATATCCCTGGTCCAGCACCAGGGAATCCTGGTTTACAGAGGTTCAACCGGTACAGAACCCCCTCTCCCCCTCCGCCAGTCCCTGATTTCTCACTGGCTGCCAGCACTGTAATCTAGTCCCCCGTCTGGCCGAGCGCAGGCCTCTAGAGGTCGTCGGCGTGTGGAAGAAAGAGCGAGTAGCTGCCTTTCCCATTTGTTGGCACCGCCGGGCCCGACAAGCCCAGGCCTGCCCAGAAAGGGTCCTGGAGAGTAGGGAGGGGGAAGGAGAAGCAATCTGTCACTTCCTCCAGCCCTTTGGTCCTTCTGCAGCAAGATCATGTGAGGCTCCCTGGAGGTTTCTGAATGGAGGGTTTCACTCCAGGGCTCCTCAGTAGTACGGACTGGAGGCTGCTGTGTGACAGGCACGCTGCTTTGTGATGCTTCAGCACGTTGGTACAAGGCAGCAGAACCCGGCTACAGCACTGGCTGATGAGAATAAATTCCCTGCCACGGGGGCACCTACACTTGACCCCTCTGAGGGCTGCCTTGCTATAATCCAGGGACAGTTTGCACAGGAAAGAGGAGCTTGGATCCTCCTTCATGCTGAATAGTGAAGCCTGGAGAAAAAAAGACTACAGGTCCCAGCATGCAAGCGGGAGACCTCCACTCACTTTACTCTTTGCTGCTGTAGCAAAGCCGAGGGAAAGAAGGTTTCCCTTTTCCTAAATGCCTGCTAGAGGTTGAACCTCTCTAAACAGGATCCCTCGGGACCTGACCTGTGCCATACCAGAGAATTTGCTGAGCAACAGTGGTCCATTTCCTAACAGCATGACCAACACTTCCCCTGCTTGCTGGGCTCTTAGGAGACATTGAGGGATAAATTAGAGCTAAATCACAGCACAGAACACTGAGAGCCAGGAGTGGTGGCTGTGAACAAATTTTATGGGACCGCGGGAAACTTGACCATGCTCCTGATAACTGGACAGCCAGCTAACCAACAGCATGCTGGACCACGGATGTTGCTGGACCAGAGAATGCCAGATTAGAGAGGTTCAACCTGTAGTAAAGTCTAAGATCAAAATCTGGCTCTGTCTGGGAGCCTTTCCTTCCTCTCGATGTCCTTTCAAAGAGCCCAGACATTCAACCCACCAGGAATGAGAGGTTAGAAATTCCAAAGGAAGGGAAATGCTTTCTTTTCCTTGAGCTAGAGCCTCGGCCGGTGTAACGCGACAGCTAATCACTGAAGTCAGCGGAGCTAAGCGGATTTACGGAGCTATGCCCTTCAAGTGCAGCAGGGCTTTCTGGCAAAGCCAAAATAAATTGCGTGAGGGAATGAAATGTAAAACCAGGCTGAGGAGATGCTATTCTCAAACCCACTGTCAGCAGACAGGATACTGGGCTAGATGGACCTTTGGTCTGACCCAGCCTGGCTGTTCTTACGTTATGTTCTAACTCAGGGGCGGGAACCTTTTTAGGGCTGGGGGCCCCTGACACACAGAAAAATCAGTTGGGGGCCACACAGAAGTAAGAAGCAAAAAACAAAACAAAACAACAAATGCTGACCGACATGGCCCCCGACTGTCACTGTGAAAGATGCTCCCCACGTTCCCCTTGCACACCAGATCCTGGGCGGGCAGGGCTGTAGATTTTGTGTGCTCCAGCCCCGCAGTGGAACAGCGGAGGTGGGGCTGGAGCACCAGCGCAGGCTCCCGAGCCTCAGGGGCCAGATCCAGGCAAGCTGAGGGCCACATCTGGCCCCCGGGCCTTAGGTTCCCCATTCTTGTTCTCACGTCTGCTTGAAACTGCCCTCATGTTTTTGATTTAAAGCTGCGCACAGCCAGTCATATGGAAATGCCAGATCGCAGAGCTGTGCTGCATTCATATGGGTTTAGGCAGGCTCCACTCTATGCAGACAATAAACTGCACAGCCAGCAATGCCCGGCTTTCTCTCGGCAGAATACCAGAGTCCTCACAAGTACCAGGGACAGGCTCAGTGTAGGAACCAGAGGGAACAGAACAGACTGTTGCCAGCAATGGACTGGAAAGGATGAGCTACTGTGCCACTGATTCCATAGAAACCAGGGGTGGGCAATAACTTGATGGAGGCTCGCTAGGGTTAATCCTTGTTGGGCCATGGCCGCTATATTTACCTGCGCTTCTGCAGGCATCAGAGGTTCTCTGCTCCCATTGGCCATGGAGCACCATTTCTAGCCAATGGGAGTGGAGGGAAGTGGCATGGACTGGGATTCCATTTCCCATAGCTCCCATTGGCTGAGAACGGCGATTCGCGGCCAATGAGGGGAGCTGCAATTGTCCGATACCCGCCAAGGCACAGGTAAACAAAGCAGTGGGGGCCTGCCAGGAGCTAACCCTGGTAGAGCAGATCTGGCCCTCAGGCCAGTATTTACCCACCCCAGATATAAACCAATGTTACCATCACTTTAAGAAACAAACTATGTTGAAAAGCTCAGCAGCAACTGATGCATCGAATGAGTTTTGCTGGGTTGAAAATGAACACAACACAGCCAATAACTTGCTGACAGGAGCTCTGAAAAGCATGTACTTCGATTAGAAAGTCCATGTGTGACCATCACTGGGCAGAGTTGAACCTGGGATCTCTGGAGCTTAATGGAGGAGCCACTGCAGCTTGAACTATAAAGCCAGCTGGCTCCCAGCTTAGGCTGTAGAGCTGCCTTGTTCTTAGCTCTTGCTGTAAGTGTTCTAAGTGCCACTACACGGGACAGTGAACCACACTAGGGCTGCATCTAGACTGGCAAGTTTTTCCGCAAAAGATATCGCTTTTGCGCAAAAACTTGCCAGCTGTCTACACTGGCCGCTTGATCTTGCGCAAAAGCACTGACGTTCTACTGTCCGAAATCAGTGCTTCTTGCGCAAATGCTTTGACATTCCCGTTCGGGCAAAAGCCCTTTTCCGGAATGTTTTTGCGCAAGAGGCCAGTGTAGACAGCTAAAAACTGTTTTGCGCAAAAAAGCCCCGATGGCGAAAATGGCGATCGGGGCTTTCTTGCGCAAAACCGCGTCTAGATTGGCACGGACGTTTTTCCTCAAAAAGTGCTTTTGCGGAAAAGCATCCGTGCCAATCTAGACGCTCTTTTCCGCAAATGCTTTTAACGGAAAAACTTTTCCATTAAAAGCATTTGCGGAAAATCATGCCAGTCTAGACGTAGCCTAGGTGTGTGGGTTACACATTCCTGGGGACCCCACGCCATGACTAGAAATGAATATAATTAGTTACCGTCTGCTAGCCGTTCAGTGGCCTGCAGCAGGAACGAAAGAGAGGCTCTTGTAGAGTGCCCAATGACTCGTCATCGTTGGCACTAATTGGTTCCCTCACTGGCAGTCCAACAGAGCAGCCAAGGACTGGATAAGCCGTGGAGGCTCAGGCTTATCAATGGAAAAATCTCCCACTGGGCTCGGTGTCAGACCCTGACTAGCTTACCCCGGGGGGCTGTGGAGTGGGGTTGAGGCAGGATGGGGATGCTGCTCTGCCTCTGCCCGTGCTAGGCCTGGTCTCTGGAGAGAGCAATTGCCACTCACCAGGGTGGTCAGCCTGTCTCCTTCCATCAGCACAAAACCCACTTCCCCTCTGAGAGAGAGAAAAGAGACGCAGTGGTAATGCCCCTGTGGCAGCCCTCTGGGTTTTCCACCTGGCCTGTCGTTCCGGAGATGTTCTCACCTTTCAGTTGGCCTCTAAATACCCAGAAAACATGGAAGGGACGGATGTCCAGTGGGGGCTTGGAGTCCAACCCAGCTCCCGTACGGACTGGCCCCAGGGCTCCCATTTGAGGCGGTTACACTGCACTTTGTCAAAGTGTCCAGTGTAGCGTCAGGCAGCCCTGTGTGCTGTAGACTATTCTTCCCACAGGGGGTACCTCCCTAAACCAGGACTCTCTGCTCTGGCAACATCCATGGTCCATCTGGAGCTCTGGCCCCAGTGGCAGCTGGGCTGGCAGTTGGCATGGAGCACCGGCCCCAGTAGCCATGGAGCCGTGGATGGGCCAGCAGCAGGAGTGCTGTTGCTGGAGCCCAGGGGCAGTGAGGCCAGAAGCAGATGGCGGTAAGGGGGGGCAGGGACCTGGGAGGCCAATGACAGGGGACCTCCCCTGATTTGGGACCTGACCCGGACCAGGGAGGTCTAACCTGTAGTATTCACCTCCCCCAAAACCTTCTGACTATTCACTCCATTAACTTCCACTTCCACTTGGGAATCTCATTTGCAGACATGTTCACTGACTATTCTGTGACATTTCCCTCATAATTTTATTATTCATTCACCCTCCGCCACAAATGTCATTGACTTCAAATACCCCTTTTACAAAGAGACAAACAGTAATTCATCATTTTTGCCCTCATCAGCAA